AGTTCGAGCTTGACGGTCGATGCTTGAGTATTTACACCGCGTTATCATGCATCACCAACGGCCTTGAGTGTAGCATAGTGCTTCTTTCGGTTTTTCTCCGCGTCTTACTGTCGGCTTTCCCTCCGCGTCTTAATGCCAATCCCTTTCCGCGTAAAACCCAAACCACCCAAAACAACCGCTGGAAATCGGCGATAAAAAATATTGTTCTGCCATGGGTCCGCTAATAAATGGTGAGGACCGCCAGCCATGATGACGACCATATCTTACCACGTGTTATAATTGCTACATTGCCACATACTACATTTACGTTTGTAAGGCACCAGTTACCGAAAATGTTTGCCACGCGTTTTTTTGTGGACAGCGATGATGTATCTCATTTTCATTTTACATGCATTCTGCTGCGGTGAGCGTCACCGCACGGTGCCTGCGTGGACTGGGTTTGTGCGGACAACGAGGAAACTATATGTGCCAGTGCTCGCTATTCGTTACAGGTCTTCGAGACCGTACTCACGCTTGCCAAGACCCAATGCTTCTTTCTCGATCTGCGGCGATTTTTTCAGGGTCTAGAAATATAAAATAATGTGGAGGTCTTATGACTGTTGGACCGACACTTATGGCGATTGATTATGTGGTAGAACAAATTGCTGTACCTTGCGTCACCTGGGGCAAGACGTGGGCCAATTTGCAGCCAATCTGTTCCTGTCGGTATATTTAGAGTACGGTATGTGACGGCAGGGGTGGATCCAGAGGGGTGGGGGGGGGGGGGCATGGGGCTATGGTCCCCCCTTGGGCTCCGAAGTAGTCCATTGGCTGCGAGGGGGCCCAGCACCTGCCGAACAGGTGCAGTTTTTAAAACACAAAACGCAACAAAACTGGATATCTCTGGTCTTCCAGACGACCAAGAACAGCTGTAAGCAAAAGTAAAGGGCCTATGGGAAGTCAAAAAATTATTCAATGATCGGAGAAGTTGTGGACTGGAAATTTTAAGCTCCATTTCACTGTCTAGGGGCCATCTGTGTTCTGAGAGAGACCTATATGCCCACTTGCAGGATCATTTCGATAGTTAAGGGGCATTCCACGTTGTCGTTTATTTCTTTGATTTTGCTCGGGGGCCACGCACTGTTGTTGGGGCCCTTCCCGCTAGCGTGCTGGGGCACTCTTGTCAATCACGGGTCCTTCCCCGTGTTCTTTCCATTCGCAAGGAAGGCTCTGTGGGCTAAAGCTGGGTCCCATATCTTAACTTGCCGGGGTTTTCTCGGTTGCCCAGGGGCCCTTCACATGCGTATCGGTTAACCTACCGACACGCTTGCGATATGCTCATGGGCTCTCTCCATTGGTCTAAGGCGCTTCAAATTCTCTGTCACTTGCTCAGGGCCCTGCACTATTGTCGTGGGGCTCATCTGATGGCCTGCTTGGGCACAACAGTCGTTCGAGGACCCTTCACACTGGGTCTTGGGTACTTCTTTTCTTAATAGGAGGCCTGCGCTTTGGGGGGGGGGGGGGGCTATCTGATAACCTGCTCGGGCACATTCAATCGTTCAGGGGCCCTCTACTTTGGGCCTTGGGCACGTGCTATCTGAGTAGGGCCCTACGCACTTGTCCGGGGCCCCCTCTGTTCGCCTCCTCGGCCACACTGGATTGTTCAGGGGGCCCTGCACATTGGTTCCTGGTGTTTGAATCTAGGGTCCTCTGTTCCTATCGGGGCTGTCTGATAACCTGTTCGGGTACACTCCACCTTTCGGGGGCTCTCCGCACCGGGTTTTGGGTGCTTCTGATTTGAATCGAGGGCCTTACGCTCCTGTCGGAGCCCCTTCTAATAAGATGCTCGGGCCCATTCGATCGTGAGGGACCTCTACATGTGGTTTTGGGTACTTCCTTTTTGAATGGAGGGCCCTCCGCGGTTTTCGGGGGCCCTATCTGTTAACCTGCTCCGGCGCACTCGGTTATTCGGTGCCCTCTACCTCATGTCGTGGTTATTTCATATTTAAACGGGAGGCCGTACGCTCTTGCCGGGGCCCCATCTGTTAACCCGCTAGGGCACACTCGAATATCCGGGGGGCCCTCCACATAATGTCTTGGGCACTTCCTATCTGAACGGAGGGCCCTATGTACTTGTCGGGGACCCCATCTGTTCGCCACTTCGGCCACACTGAACTGTCCGGAGGGTCTGCACATTGGGTCTTGGTGTTTGAATTTAGGGCCCCACACTCCTGTCTGGGCCACCTGATAATCTGCTTGGGTATACTCCATCTTTTGGAGGTCCTCCGCCATGAGCTTTGGGTGCTTCTGATTTGAACGGAGGGCCCTACGTTCTTCTCGAACCCCTTCTGATAACCTGCTCGGAAACATTCTATCATTCTGGGGCCATTCGCATAAGGTCTTCAGTGTTTCCTATTTGAATGGAGGACCCTACGCTCTTGTTGGGAGCTATATTTGTTAACCTGTTCGGAACACACTCGATCATTCGGGGGCGCTCTTCATTGGGTTTTGGGTACTTCCTATTTGAATGGAGGGCCCTACGCTCTTGTTGGGAGCAATATTTGTTTACCTGCTCGGAATACTAGAGCATTCGGAGGCGCTCTTCATTGTGTCTTGGGTACTTCCTATTTGGATGGAGGCCCCTACACTCTTGACGGGGCCCCTATATGTTAAACTGTTCGGGTCGCACTCGATCGTTCAGAGCCCTATACATTGTGTCGTGAATATTTCTTTTTTGAGTGGATGGCCCTATGTTCTTGGCGGACCCTATCTATTAAGCTGCTCGGGCTGGTGGCGGATGCTGAGGGGGAGGCACAGGACCCTACCTCATGGAGCATGCCGAGGGGATCTGAAGGCTTCGAATGGGCCCATAATCGGCCGGACGCAGGACGCAGTTTCCTCACAACAAAAACACGACAAAATTGGAAGTCTTTGCGCAAACAAATAAAACAAACAAAAAAACAAATACACAACAAAAAATGGAGACTTTTGGACTTTTCCAGCAGACTACCAAGAACAATTGTTAGCAAAAGTAAAGAATTCATAAAAGACCAAGCTCAATTTTTCTTGGCTGATTGAGAAAGTGTTGCTTGGGAAAAATCATGCGGCCCATTTCGTTGTATAGAGCCATTGTGCTGTTGGTTTCCTGGCCCTATATATCCACTTGCCGGGTCAATGTGATCGTCAGGAGCTTTCCACGTTGTCCTTGATCTCTTTGCATTTCTCGTAGGGCCCAATGTGCCGTTGGGAGGCTATGTGCCCCCATGCCTGAGCACTGTTGATCGATCAGGTTTTCCTCCACGGGTTCTCCCCATTCGTCCGAAGGGCTCTTTACACTTTTTCCAGGCCCCATATGCCAGGGCACACTCAGTTGCTCAGGGGCCCTTCATTTAAGTCTCTGGCTTTTCCTGCTTGCTTGGAAGGCCTTGCGCTGTTCGCTAGGGCTTTTAAGAGGTTAGGCGCGGAGACTCTCGATGCTCAGGGGCCATCTACTTTGATCGAGGGCTCTTCCCTTTGTTTCATATGCGGAGGACTCTTCACTCCTATGGCGTGGTGGTTAACCCGCCCGCGCACTCTTGAGCGCGCAGGTGTATTAATTCATGGTCTTGGATAATTCCCCTTCGCTTGGAAGGTTCTGTGCTCTGGCCGGGGCTTTATATGTCAGCCTGCCAAGGCACTACCAGTCGTTCATAGGCCCACCACATTGGTCTTGGGCTATTTTTGCTAGATCTGCGGACCCTATACTTGTTGACAGGAGCCACTTTGTTGGCCTCTTGCGACACCCATGATCGCTCAGGTTTCGTCCCTACTGGCCTTCGCCTCAGAGCAGCGGTGGAATATGCGCCGATGAATTTTTTCGCGCCAATTGCCGAACGTAATTTTACATGTCGCCGATAGTCGTATGTGTCATTTTCGTTAACTATTGAGAGTGTGATGCTTATTATTCTAGTGCATCACGTTCTTAACATACTTCGAATGCTAGGATGTGTTTTACTTCTTTATAACAGAGGAAAAAATCTGCACTAGTCACTAGCCGTCAACTGATTACATCGCCCAGCTGGCTAGCCGTAAAAACGCAAGCTAGGAATCAATTCCATGCTTGGTTTTGATGGTTGTTAGCCGCTAACTCGAGTTAATTGTGACTGTTGTTCCAAAACACTTAGCCTCAAAATTACAGCATTTAACAGGATCTGTAGAAGGGGAGTGAGTTATGTGTATGCATACGTAGCACGCCTGGTTTTATAAGGCCATACACAGTGAGATGGGTTTTCGTATTTATGAAATGAATGAACAAGTAAATGCATACATGCGTATATACATACCGACACACACACACACACACACACACACACACACACACACACACACACACACACACACACACACATATATATATATATATATATATATATATATATAGATATATATATATATATATATATATATATATATATATATATATATATATATATATACGCTACACACAACTTGTCTTAAAATGTACGGACCAAAATGCAAGGATTTTTTTGGAGGGGGGCCCCAAGCTCCAGGGGTCCGACAACGTCTCGTGCCTCCCCTTTGACGAAATCATGGATCCGCCCCAGTGTGACAACACTTACGTTTTTAACCCACTAGGATAACGAAACATGGCAACCTTTCGTTATCCTGGTGGCAGTAGGTTAGAGTGCAAGTGACAGGCGTCATTAACGGCTCGACGGCGACAAACGGCACTGCACCGCACCGATTTAACTTTGAAAGCTGAAGGACACAAGCAGTATTTAAGCAAAAAGCGACAATATTGCCTTAATTTTGCATAATAACTATAGAGCTAAAAATTAATTTTTAAATAAATAACAAATTTTGCAATTGATAGGTTTATTTTGAATAATGCAATTTATTTTACCTTGGTTTACTATTTTGCCACCAGGTTCGTTACATTAATTACTGGTAAACAAAAGCGACCTTGAATTTTGCTTCGTGGGCGGTGGCTATATTGATAACGTGGCCAGGTGGTGCCGCGTTTGGCGTTGGGGTACGGGTGTGGTGGTCGAGACATCTGTTTATAACTTTATTGGAGGGTTTTAAGACAGATTGCGTTAATAAGGTGCTACGCACTGCTCTGCCGAGCTGAGCAGCATGTTTCTGCCAGATCTGGATGAGGATCATGAAGGTAGTGAACGATGCGTAGCTGGGAAGTTATTGTGCGCCCCTGGAGTTGTGTTTTTATTGAGCGTATATTGAGACTGGATACAGACTCATGTCATGTCCCATGGTTTTTAAATTGCACAATTTTCATGCTGGTGGAAGAGCAGTCCAACTCAATTGAGGTGTGGGCTGCCGGAGCTTGTGTTGCATAATTTTTTAGATTCAATTTGGACTTCAGAATGGATAGATTTCAGGGTTCATATTACATGCCAAGTAGTGCCTGTCATGTGAGCAAGATTTCCTCCATCCATAATGCCATTCCAGGTTGAAGGCAGAATTTTGGAGCATAAGTTTTAATTGCCACACAATACTTGGCATGGTCCATCCTTTCCTATGGTTTAAACTGACCTTAAACACTGCCTTTGCCTGGCCTGGACCCTGCTTTAAGCTGCTACCTCTGCCAGGCTCAGGTCCATGCACACCACAGGCCATACTTATCTGCCTGGCTTTGGATTGCCTTTGGATTGTCTTTTTTGAAATTCATGTAGATTTATGTTTTCTGTCCAGGTGATGTCATTTATTTTCATATCATGTCATATTTACTAGTATGATATTTACCCAGACAACTGTAATTATAGTTCATTCCAGGTACAATGTAGGGCTGGATTATAACTACCTGGGAAACATGTATCTGCAATAAGCTTTTTGGAATATGCAAATTAACCTGGCAGCTCTCATTAGTGAAGGGTTTGACCTGACATGATGTGAGCATTCTTCAACCTGATCATACCTTTTTATGTACCAGATCTATTGCATTTTTCTTATTCCACTCAATGAGTATGATTGAAAGTCTGTTACTTCATGGATGTAATAAGTTATTGAGATTCACATTTCACTTCATGAAAATTCAGGTATACTTGGATTGACCAATATCCACATGTTAGTGACCTACAGGCAAAATGTGATGTCCTTACTCTGAATGAACAGTGGGACATGACAGTATGCTAGTCAGGTGACAATGAACAGTGATGGAATACATTCTTAAATGACAAAATGTAGATGTTGTTGCAGTTATTAGATGTCTCTCATGTTTGCCACCTTCAGGGTTTTATAAAGGTCTTGGGATCGTGCTGAGAATATTTATGACCTTTGTGTAGTTTTTTGCCGAATATTCTTGCCTTCCAGATTGGCAACTTTAATTCAATGTGCTTGAAGGGAGTGTTGCACATTTGTATGTGGTTTTGAGCTGAGACGGCCATTTTAAAGATCACTTAATGCAGCTCACAGCCCTGCCTTTTTAGGGACTCAAAACCCTCTGCTTCTGACCTTGATGCCTTGACCTTGTGCCATCTGGTATGTGCATTTTATTTCAAGGTCACCCAGGCCTGCATAGCATCAAAAAAGCCGACAGGAATATTGGCACCTTATTAGCCATGCAGTGCTCAAGGCCACCTGAAGAAATATCATGGATTGATTGGCATTAAATGTACACCAGCATGATTTTTGGCATCAGCAGAGTTCAATTGGCCCTAGATCAAGTGATGCGTCTCATGCAAATTTTAAACACGAATCACGTTTTGTGTGATGTAATATGCAGAAGCACGGACAGTGACATGGTATATTACGAAAATGAGACTAGAAATCGAAGTATTTAGGGATAGTGCATAAATTAAGTATACCAATGCAAGTAAGCAATATAAAATATTTTGATTTTAAAAACTTTTTATGATAACAAAGTTTTCATTTATACGAGAACAGTGCGAGAAAGAGCCAAAACACGGGCATATGACGAAGTTTGGGTATGCAAACAACGTACCGATTAGTGCGATTCCTCTCTGACAAGATGCAGTACTATGTCTACAAGTGAGTGTGCCTGTCCACTACGGTGCAAATTTCGCACGGCCAGTTTGGCAGCGACTCATCAGTCATACAAACGCAACCAAAGCACGCAATGACGTATTTCCATGACGCAAGCAAGCGATGACTCAGTGAGCACATTTACTATCCACGCATATTACTGAAGTTTGCTAATTGACTTATCGAGCACTATTTACGAAGTAGTGATATTAAGTTGTCTAGAGCAGTCCTTGCACTTCAAACTGTACCAAAAGTTACGAGTGAGAAGTGTAATAAGATACAACATGCCAAGGATAGCTTTTCAAGCACATACAAAGCAGTATTGATGGTTGAAATCATACTTTCCACCCCACGAAATCAGTGCACATTTCTGCATGTTTTGATACTAGGTCTCCGGAGTGTGAAAGCCAATACATATTGATGTAATGCTACACATTCGCTGCAATTGCCTGCTGCCTGACTCGATGAGGACAGTGAGAAGCATACACTATGATTGGTATCATTATTCGTAGCTCCTCTGAGCTTATAAACTCTTCAACTACTTTTGCCTTTCCAGCTGACGTCGTGTGCACTGGAAAGAGCAGCAGCCACCCTGTGCGCCCAGCCGCCCTGTCCTCTGACGGCCCGCTCCCCGTCCCCGCGGGCGCGAGCGGCAGCCCCGCTGACCGGCGCCGCCTCCGCCGCCAGGGATGGAGCCGACCGACACGGATGACGACATCGACATCCGCGGCGACCCGGCGTCGCTGCCGCCCACGCTGTACGTGCTGGAGTTCGCGGCGGGCGTACCGGCCGCCACGGTCGACTGGTACATCAGCCGCGTGCAGGGCCGCCGGCGCACTGGTGGCGCGGAGCTACTCGTCAGCGCCCAGCCCCAGCTTCAGGGCAAGGTCGGTCGACCGGCGCCTGCTGCGCTGGCACGTGTCTTCTCTGGCCGGGTGGTGTTGAGAATGGACTGGTGCTCTGGCCACCCGGAAGCTGTGTGGAAGCGATGATAGGTGATAGGTGGTCAGGTTAACTCGCGAGTGACATAGAAATTATTTAGAAATCCTGGAAGTCCATTATATCAAAGTTATTAAATTCCTATAGGTCTGTGTGCCGTAGTTGGCGAGCAAGGTCAGTAGACCGATCGGAGCTGGTGTCTGGTAGGCGCTGGGCGAGACGTGCACCAGCCTCTGTCTGACCGGAACAGGCTGGTGTCTCATAGTGGAAAGGGTCCTGTTGGGCCGGAGTCCAGCCTCGGACGGACAATCCACAGCGGTCGGATTCGCAGCTGCCTTGGTGTCCCTCCCGCCGACTGCAGCTGCCGTGGTGCCCCTCCCACCGACTGCAGCTGCCGTGGCGCCTCTCGCCGATTGCAGCTGTCGTAGCGCCCCTCCCGCCGACTGCAGCTGCCGTGGTGCCCCTCCCACCGACTGCAGCTGCCGTGGCGCCTCTCTCGCCGACTGCAGCTGTCGTGGCGCCCCCTCGCGCCGATGCTGTGGCGCCCCTCCCGCCGACTGCAGCTGCCGTGGCGCCCCTCCCGCTGATCCCGCCGCCGCCCCGCCCGCCGCGCCGGCAGGGTCTGGTGCTGCATCTTACGGCGTCGCGCATCAAGCTGCTGGAGACGGCCGAGCGCATGGAGATGCGCAAGAAGGACCGCGACGGCTACCTGCGCGACTTCACGTGCGCCGAGCTGGACGAGTTCCTGGGCCCGGCCGGCGTCGATGGCCTGCTCACGATGTGTGAGAAGCAGCGCATCGTGCTGCACGAGCTGGAGCACATTCGCGCGCGCACGGCTGAGGACCGGCTGCCCGGCTATCCGGCCGTCCGGCTCTACCCCGGCCAGAGTGTCAGTGAGTATCGGGGGGGGGGGGGGGGAGGGCGGGGGGATATTTCGGGAGGAGGCGGGGTTGTGAAACAGCGCGTTTGGAGTGTTGCAGTCGCTGCGTGACGGTGAGGTTGGATGTGTCAGGCGATGTGACACACTGTGGTGCTGCCGGTGCTGGTCCGGTTCCGTGGTGACGAAGACCCCCACAGACCGTGCCTGCCACTCCCTGTCTGCGCGGTAAGGTGACGACCGATGCCCGTGCACCCCCAGCCCGCCTGCTGCTGCAGGAGAAGGTGATCGTCCAGCTGTTCCCCACCCACGACCAGGAGGAGCTCGACCGGCTGGGCAAGTCCTGGTACGCCGCCCTCTTCCAGCGTCAGCCGTTCGGTGAGCGCATTCTCTGCACATGGATTGCCGATGCTTGTGGGCAGCGTTGGTATCAGATGCTTAGTGCCGCGGAGCCCGTTGACCTGGCTCCGACGCCGCCGTCTGATTGTTTGGTACAGATGTGGGGCCAACTCTGCAGTGCTCTCCAAGTCGTGCTGGGATGCAGGGCTCCTTTTTCCGGGAAAGTGGCAACCTTTAATAGGCAGCCGCTGGACCGTTGGGACGGCAGCGGATGCCCAGACGGCTTGTGGCAAAGGAGCCTTGTCCAAGGCTCAGCGCTCAGGGCTGGGGGAAAGCTTTGGCATCGGTGTAATGTTGAAGTTAGGTCATCAAAATAGATTTTGGGTGTAGTCTTTGCAGTTTTCATGTTTCTTACCCGTCATGCCTTTCTTCCCCTCCGCCACCTGATGGTGCTGATAGTGCAGTTGTTAACGCGCCTGCGTCAACCACTGTTAACACAATGTCTGGGAAATCAGAGGTACGGGGTTCGATTCACCGCGGTGTCCGCCCTTCCTACTAGGCTGAGAGGCGTCGACACCATACAGCCTCATCAGCTGAGTGAGTCGTAAAGCCCCAGTGACGATAACGACGACCTCCCTCACCTGTGTCTCCCTCTTTCGCATTGGCACCCACGGACGTGCCCAGATCAGTTAACGCGTCGAAAATAGACGTAGGCTTCTGCGCTCTGAAAATGAACAAAGTTTCCTAGATGTGCTCACTGTGAGACGCTTGCACCGCCCCCTGCAAAATCTTCATAACTCAACTTGACGTCCTGCATGACTCTTCGTTTCATACCGGCCGCCGCCCCGCCCCAGAGGACATCCGTGCTTACTTCGGCGAGTCTGTGGCGCTGTACTTCTCGTTCCTGGGCTTCTACACGGCGGCGCTGTGTGGTCCGGCGGCGCTGGGCCTGCTCCAGCTGTTCTTCTCGGTCGACACGCTGCACGAGTACGCTCTCTACTCGCTCTTCAACATGCTCTGGGTCACCGTCTTCCTGGAGGTGCGGTCTCGGTTTGGCCTCAGCCGGGTATCGGCCTGTTGGCCTGTTTACATGCTTTGTGTCACTGTGCAAAACATATGGGTTAAAATATTTTTATTGGGAGGGGTTTTCTGTGTCTTTTTTGTTTTCTGCGCCCTTTTGATTTCTGGGTCTTTTTTACTCGTCGCCGTTTCATGCTCATTTTCCATGCTATACTGACGTCAGAAAGGCGTCTTAACGCATCGTAGTCCGTTATGGCGTAAGACGAACGTGACCTGAGCCACGATAAACCAACTTGTTTACTGATGTATAAATGTTTAGATGTAGAAACGTGACATCCACATGTTCGCATGTCTTGGATGCCTCACCTAAGGTTATTGCGGAGTTGGTGTGGTGAATTTTGTGTTGTCTATCCTAGGGAGAGCCATGTATCCCTTGACGCCACATGCATTACCAGAGCACACGCGCCGAATTGCGCTGTGCCGTCGGTGCCCTGTCTCATACGGCGTCGTCCGCCTGGCTGGTCTAACGCGCCCCCTAATCCACTTAGCCCAAACGCCACGACGCGTCTAACTTCCGACCCGACCGCGTGCCGGCGCCACCGTCGCCGTCACTCACGCCTCCGCCGCCCCGCAGGCGTGGAAGCGCAAGTGTAACGAGCTGGCCTACGTGTGGGGCGTCATGGACAAGACGCAGATGTCGTTCCTGGAGCCGCGCGCCAATCACCGCGGCGAGATGATCCGCGACGAGATCACTGGCCGCTACATGCCCTACTACCCGCGCTGGAAGACGCTGCTCAAGGTGGGCTGGGCTGGGCCGGGCCGGGCCGGGCCGGGCCGGGCCGGGCTGGGCTGGGCCGGGCCGGGCCGGGCCGGGCCGGGCCGGGCCGGGCCGGGCCGGGCCGGGCCGGGCCGGGCCGGGCTGGGCTGGGCTGGGCTGGGCTGGGCTGGGCTGGGCTGGGCTGGGCTGGGCTGGGCTGGGCTGGGCTGGGCTGGGCTGGGCTGGGCTGGGCTGGGCTGGGCTGGGCTGGGCTGGGCTGGGCTGGGCTGGGCTGGGCTGGGCTGGGCTGGGCTGGGCTGGGCCGGGCTGGGCTGGGCCGGGCTGGGCTGGGCTGGGCCTGGCCGGCCGCCGGCTCCGCCAGTGGTGGGCGGCTAAAGCGCTCTCCGCGCACGTCACGCGCGCCGTCGGACGTCGCCGCCCCGGACGTCTGGCGCGGGCACGTGGAGGGCGCGCGGGCGTGCGGCCACCGCAGGCTGGGGACTGGTGCGGCGGTAGGCTGGCAAGATGTTGGGGCGGTGACCGGATGCGAGCTTGGGAGCTGGTCAGCGGGCTGTTGTCGCCACGCCGTCTGTTGTTTATGTTGCTGTCATTGGGGCTTTACGACGCACTCAGCTGCTGAGGCTATATGGCGTCGCCTGCCTCTCACCCTGGCAGGAAGGGCGGGCGCCGCGGGGACTGACACGCCGTCTGTTGGCTGCTTCTGACGCCGGCGCGCTGCGGTGCTGACCGTGGACTGACGTCAGCGGCGAGCGAATACCGTGGGCCGTCGACCAGCGTCTCTAACAGCTGCCTCCCCGCCGGCAGCTGTACGCCGTGTCCATCCCGACGGTCGGGGTGTGCCTGTTCGGCTCCTTCTACCTCATGCTAGTCTCCTTCTGGGTGGAGGAGTACCTGACGCTGCACCGCGACCAGTACGGCGGCAACCTGGCGGCGCTGTTGATCATGCTGCCGTCGGTCGTGTACTCGGTGGCCGTGCTCGTCATGAATAAGTACTACAACAAGATGACCACCTTCCTCACGGAGTGGGGTGAGTCCGGCGGCGAGGAGCCTTGCTGGCGTGAGGCGAGGCGCGTGGGAGGCGGCAGAAGTCGGTCGCTGGCGAGGGTCATGTCAGAAGCAGGGCGGGTGAGCAAGCGGCTGTTCGTAGCCGGGGCGGGTCGTGGTGGACTAAATCTGTGCTTGCGTATACTCGTTGAAGTGCCATGGGCGGTTGTGGTTCATCCAAACGAGAGTTGCTCTGGGTTTCGAGGCGTTTGGGACGTGACCGCCACGGACTATAGGGTAAGGATTGTTCAGCAGATGTGGCATGGAAGAAGGCAGGCGACGGGTCATGAGGACAAATTGGAAAGGACAAAATACTCAAAGAATCGTATGTAAAAATGTAAGGAGAAAGCAGCAAAAATACCATACGAGGTAACAAAAACGCCAGGAAACGTGCGCCGTCGTATGGGATAAAGGTCGTTAGGAAAACTGCGTCATGAGTGCATTTCGGATTGCAATGCTTTTGCGGGAAAACTGCAGACCAAGACAAGACACTGCCTGAGGGGAGGCGCTGCCGTTTATCGTTCCGGCACTGGCCACGAGGCGTGCCCCTGCGAAGCGGTAGCTGGGAAACGCGCATCACTGTGCTGCCGTTGCTCCGCACGATTTTTGTCGAGTATCCAATTTTGTCAAACGACGGTGAAGTGTACAACGTCGTAGGGTCGGGATGAACATTGTTATGCTATGGCTTTTGTACTGTAACGTCCTCGCCTTGTACTTTTGGCATGCGATCTTCACCCGCACGAGTTTTTGTCCGCTGCGACTTTGATCCTGTACGGGCTTTCTTCCGTACGATCTTTTGTCGTGCGATTTCTATCCATGCTCTCGTAATCCCATAACATAGGTTCTCGTTTTATCCCGCACGATTTTTGCCCTTTTGCGACCTTTTGAGATGCGGTCTTTCGGCATCTGATCGTTAACCACGTGGTCTTTCGCCTGGTTGCTGCTGGTCACCAGTGTGGCGTGTCTGCGACTTGCCATGATCGCCTGGATGGGCTTTCGGGACCTGAACGGTTTGCGCTCGTCGACAGAGAACCATCGCACGCAGAAGCAGTTTGACTACTATCGGGTGATCAAGCTGGCTCTCTTTGAGTTCGTCAACAGCTTCATGTCGCTGTTCTACATCGCTTTCTACATGCAGGACCTGGAGATGCTGAGAGGCGTGAGTACACCGTGTTGAGTTGCGACGGATAGCAACGTGGCCTGAGGCCATAGCTATCTGGCTGTATCGCTCAATGTGGATATTCGTTGCAGGCTCTGCCGTCCGTTCGCACGAGAAGCTATGTCTTCCGTTGTCCCTCGCTGTTTCGGGGAGCTTTGTCTCAGGGAGGTATGAGGGATGTAATCGCATGAGACAGAATCATGGGTGTAGAGCCATTTCGGGCACACGTGTCATGGGAGCGCATGGGTCTTGTGATTGGTTAGTCTTCAGGAGGGGGTTCGATGGCTTCACGTATGGCACAGGTGTGCAGGATACTGCGCCGCCAGTGACGGCGGCAGTCACACGCTCCATGTATGTCACTGGGTCAGCGCGGTATGATGTGCAGGATACTGCGCCGCCAGTGACGCCACACGCTCCATGTTTGTCACTGGGTCAGCGCGGTATGATGTGCAGGATACTGCGCCGCCAGTGACGCCACACGCTCCATGTGTGTCACTGGGTCAGCGCGGTATGGTGTGCAGGATACTGCGCCGCCAGTGACGCCACACGCTCCATGTGTGTCACTGGGTCAGCGCGGTATGGTGTGCAGGATACTGCGCCGCCAGTGACGCCACACACTCCATGTATGTCACTGGGTCAGCGCGGTATGGTGTGCAGGATACTGCGCCACCAGTGACGCCACACGCTCCATGTATGTCACTGGGTCAGCGCGGTATGGTGTGCAGGATACTGCGCCGCCAGTGACGCCACACGCTCCATGTGTGTCACTGGGTCAGCGCGGTATGGTGTGCAGGATACTGCGCCACCAGTGACGGCAGCAGTCACACATGAGGCTATGGCTACTGAAAAGGCGTATAATCAAATGTGCATCTTGCAAAGCTTCAAAGCTAACAAGCCACTTAGTAGCGTATGTTGATGTTGTGGACCCATTGTCCTTGAGCAGTGAAATCGATGTTTAAAAGATTGGTTATCCTAATTGTGCTGAGAATATGGACCATGTGTAATTGAGCTGCATCAATTACAGCTTGTGTGTTAGTCGATAGTGTTTGGTGTGGCGGTGCAGTTAATCAAATCGGTGGCCAGCTTCAGCCAGTGACGTTGGGCGTGTCTATTTCAGCAATTGGCCGTGATGCTGATAATTCAGCAGGTGGTCAACAACTTCCAGGAGGCTCTGCTTCCGATCGTCATTCGCACCACGTATTCCAAGGTGAGAGGCCAGCCGACAGTCGTCACCACCACTGGTCCAAGGTGAGAGGCCAGCCGACAGTCGTCACCAACGCCGGTTCAAGGTGAGAGGCCAGCCGACAATCGTCACCAACGCTGGTCCAAGGTGAGAGGCCAGCCGACAGCCGTCGCCAACACTGGTCCAAGGTGGGAGGCCAGCCGACAGTCGTCACCAACATTGGTCCAAGGTGAGGGGCCAGCCGACAGTCGTCACCAACACTGGTCCGTAGGCTAGTAAACGCAAACGAAAAGCGACAGCGACACATCATGTTGATGTAGCAGGATATGACCTCAAAATCGCAGTCACTGTGTTGTGGACATCATCGCCAAACTGGCCTGTAGTAGGTATCGTAATCGATGACAATCGTTGATAATCGTTGTTTTCAACTTGCAACGCTTTACATGAAATTGGCATGACGAGATTTATCACGCTCTCAGCTCAAGTAATTTGGGCATGTGCGTGTGCCCTTCATCGCACATATTTCCGTTGTCCAGGCAATTGGTGGACGTGATAAAGTATCACAGCTGTGATCGTCGGATAGCCGGAGTGTCATGGTTGTTAAGATCCCCGCAGCTCAGATGTTTTCGGCGTTTTGGGTGGTGGGAAAGCTATTAGCACGCAACGTAAGAATTTCACAGTCGTCCGAATTCGCTCACTCCCAGCTGGAGAATAGTGCAATTCGTGTGTATCAAATTTCGGTGCACGTGGCCTGCACACAGTTAATGGCAGCCACTGCGTAAATGTATACATTTCTACGAACATTCTCCTCGCCTAGAACCTTTCTCTACCTGGTGGAGGAGGACAGCGCAGCGTGCTGTAGCCTGCTGTAGCCGTACTGCCGCCTTGGTGCGCAGTGTAAACTGACGGCTGACTGTGGTCGACTGACGGCTGGCTGTGGCCGACTGACGGCTGACTGTGGCCGACTGACGGCTGACTGTGGCCAACTAACGGCTGACTGTGGCCAACTGACGACTGGCTGTGGCCGACTGACTGCTGGCTGTGGCCGACTGACGACTGACTGTGGCCGACTTACGGCTGGCTGTGGCCGACTGACGACTGGCTGTGGCCGACTGATGACTGGCTGTGGCCGTTCGCGGCGATGGACGTAAGGCGTGTCGTGTGTAACGACCGTGATGTCCCCTCGTGTCGTGACCCAGACCAGCGCGGCTGAAGTCGCGGCGCTGAGCGTGGCGCCGTCCGCCCGTGCTGCAGGTCCAGGAGAAGGTAGTCACCAAGCTGAAGGAGCACAAGCTGACGCGCCAGCTGTTTGAGAGTCGCGCCATCGATGCGGTGGACGCCGACGACGCGCGCGTGCGGGTCAAGACGCTGGAGGCGGAAGACCCGCGTGTGCTCATGGTCAACGAGCAGCTGCAGCTGGAGCGGTACCCGGTACGTGCGAGCGTGGACGGCCGGCGGCGCCGCGGGCTCCGTCCCTGGCCTCCCTGCTCTGTCTGTTCAGGGGGCTGGCAGTTGGTGCGAGCGTGGACGGCCGACTGCGCCGCGGGCTCCGACCCCGGCCTCCTGGTTCGGTCTGTCCAGGGGACTGACAGTTGGTGCTGGTGTAGCTCTGTCGGACTCCGCTATTGCATGCGTTCCCGTGAGAGAGGGGCCATCTTGAACGAGGAACTCGGCTTCGGCGCGGTGTGCAGCTATTTGCAGTTTGAGGTCGCCATCAATAGACCGGTCTCCCCCCCTCCCGCCCTGAGACCCCTGACGTTTAAGGGAAACTCCGCAGCGTTCCTTCTCGTCGGGAATGCCGAGACTTCGGCCGTGACCATTTCGTCTGCAGCTTGTCCGTGGCGGGATTAAGCTTGTGTGGTGTAGCTGCTGGGGCTTAGGCTCTTGTGGGGCCCTTCCGCGTCTCTTTCGCCCGTCTCTCAGTATTTCAGAACTGGATCAACCGCTTGCACGGCGGGTTGTCGCAAACAGGCTGTTGGCTTGTTGTCACAATCTGAAATGACAAAATTTTCACGATTTTTCCATTGAGTCCGACATCAAGCATAGTTTAGGAGGCAACGACACTGTAGATTGAATTGCTTGCTTATCTGGCAACTCATAGCGTGATTCAAGTATACTCACGCAAGCAAACAAAAATACATGCGATTTTTTTTGCCATCTGTTGACGCAAAAGAAAGAAGAAGATGTTTGAACAAGTTAATGTTAGAATTTGATTAAAATCAAAGCATACTTAAGGCCTTCAGTGCAGTTGCAAGGAACATTGCATGCACCTAAGAACAGTACTGCTGCCATTTTTCCTCGCTAAGCTTTCAAGATATTTTTGCAGCTGTAAGTTGTTTCGGCAAAGACTTAGAGCTAAAATATCATTACATGTATCTATTTTGCCTAATTACTGAACGAGAAATAAGGTCATTTATGCTACTATTAAAGTCGAAGCAGACACTTTTTAGAGCAATGCGGTGATTTTTCAACCACTGTTTTCATTTCGATACAAAGAATTTGAAAACGGGGCGTGACATATCTGCCAGTGTGGTGCAAATAAACGAAGATATTTTGAAGATTGCCCGCTGCCCTTGCGACCAGCTCGTGCCATTCAAGCATTCGCACGCTGCCACGAAACACTGCGACAAATCATCCCAACGAGAACCGATTGACCTCGTAAAAGATGACAGTTATTTCAGTTGAAGGAACGGACCAGTGGTTCATCGAAATGTGTAGAATGCTTCCGGCATGGCCCGCCGCTCCCTTTGTTTCGCTATCCCGCAAACTCGGGATCCGCCATTGATGGCACTGCGGTCGAGAAATTTTGGCTGACATCTGTCACCCCCATCTTCTCCCCCTCTCCCCACAGAAATGGAACTAGGGCGGGCCCATTATGTCGCTGGCCTGGCCGGCCGCTGCGGACGCCGGTCATCCAGGAGTGTCACGTGCTGCCCCGCTTGTTACGGCCGGTGATTCCATTGTTTTCAAATAACTGTGCAAGGCGACACTTTCCTGTTGCATGAATCAAATGCATTTACCAAAAATGAAGTTCAGCAACTGGTGACAATGTGTCGATTGCATGCATGTGGCGCTGGAGCCGTGATCAGGCGACCTACTCGAGGTCACCAGGTATGCCGATGCCTCGTTTAGGAGATTGTTCACGTGTGATTTTTCGCCGCTGCGACTGCAGGCCGTTAGGGGGTGGGGCGGCCACGAGATGTTTTTTGCGTCTGCCGCCGTTTGTAGCGTGACTTAGGAGCTCCACAAGTTCAGCTTGGTGGAGGTATTCTGACCAATCCCTGTCTGTGACCTTGTCGTTCCCAGGCTCGTATAAGGTGTACTGTGCTGTGTTGCCCTTTTCCTATTTCGAAGAGCTTTTCATCCGTTGTAGCCACCAGATGGACGCAAGAAGAGTTCTGGGAGTCTAAGCCTTTCTTTCGTTGGAATTTTCTCCGAGGTCAGGAAAGCTACGCTATTCTTTGGTGCGTTCCTTCATTGGGACATGCTTAGGGGGGGGGGGGGGGGGCGGGTACACGAAAACAGTGCCCATTCCTCTGCTTGTGTGCACACTGCTATAGAAAATTGACCGATGTGTTAAACACGCGTGGCTTTAGGGTTTGAGTCGCCGCCAGCCTTAATGCATAGGCCCATCACTAAAATTGCACGAAGCTAGAAATGTCGTATTTGGCGTCGTGGAGGCGGTGGATGTAGATATTTACGCGTTCTAGTACGTCTACGAAAAAAGCATTAGAGCAGCTTACTGAACGGGCCCCACAGGAAGGCTGTTGGCGAATTGTATCCGACTCTCTGTAGCGAAGAAAGACATGTGCCGTTAAATCCTTCGTCAGTCTCGCCATGGACGTTACACCTGGAGCCAGATATTCAGAGGGCCAGGGACTTTAGCGCGGGGTTTTTTCGTTTGTCTGTTTTTCGTTTTTAACTTGTCCAAGATAAGATTAGGATCAGGGGCGTTTTGCGTAGCCTCGTTCCCGCGCAACGTCATGAACTTTATGCCAAAATTGTACCAATATTTCGGGGTCTAGTTCCCCTCCTCCCCCCCCCCTCCCCCCCACCAGACAACGAGGCAGTTCCCGCGGCCACATCCAGAGGTGAGGATCCCATTGACGAGAAAAGCTGGGGCAGTGAGCGCCCAGCCATCCAGCTGCCCACCCAGAAGTTACCTGCACTGGAGAGATACGTGCTCAAACAAGCAGGCCGCTCGCAGACGCGTGCATCTACAGGGTTTGACATATCGCAGCAATGTCTCGAATGTACCGCGGTGTAAGATATTCCCGAAATACGGCCGGCGGAAAGGGTCTCTGGGGGGGGGGAGGGGGGGGGGGCACTAAAGGGCAGGTGAAGCAGACTGCAGCATGCCGAAAACCCGGGGCGGGCCTCTAAAAGGCAGGTGAAGCAGTCTGCAGCATGCTGAAAACCCGGGGGCGGGCCTCTAAAGGGCAGGTGAAGCAGTCTGCAGCATGCTGAAAGCCCGGGGGCGGGCCTCTAAAAGGCAGGTGAAGCAGACTGCAGTATGCCGAAAACCCGGGGGCGGGCCTCTGAAGGGCAGGTGAAGCAGACTGCAGCATGCTGAAAACCCGGGGATGTTACAGTGAAGGGCGACGGAGATGCAGTCATTGAGTTGAATGGCGAAAGTTGCGTGTGTGGGCGTGGGCGTGTGGGCGGCCTTCTCGAGCTCTGGAATGGCTAAATACCATCGTGCACCGAAGCGCCATGAACAGGGTTACCCACAGAACTGGCGTCGACCTTATCAGATTGATGGGTGCCGTAGCGTCGATCACGTTTTCTTTTGACGCAGTCTGGTCTCGGCGCTCTCCGGGAAGGTCCGGCCTGTCACAGCTCAAGAAGCTTATTATGCGCGTCACCGCGTGCATTAATAACCCTTCCAACAGTTCCTCAGTTAAGACTCATGGAACAGGTCTTGGCATACGTGAAGGCCCGAGTGTGCGATGGCCGCTGAACAGCTGATAATGCGCCACAGCTTCACGCCGGGATCAAGCCCGAGTTAAACGGAGGGCTTTCACCCCTGATGCGTGCCGGAACCGCCTGGCGCCCGTGAAGACCGGTTTACGGCATATGGCCGGCGACGGGAGCGTGTGTGGCTGGGTGGGACGGGGGAGGCATGCGGAATCCGTTGGGATATCTCGTACTTGGATGCAGGTTTTCTGAGCCGCGTCCCGCGCTGTTGTGCGTGTTTCTAATTACAGATGGTCATGTCGCTCCGCACAGGTCACGGCGAAGTTCTTGAAACGCGTGGTCAGGGACAAAACATTCCTGATATGCCACATGTAAGCAATGGACACGCACGCCCCGCGTTCTCGTGTTTGTGTTCGTGGCAAGGACTTGTCGAGCTCGCGGAGAACCACGCAGCAGCTTCGCTAGCCGTCCTCGGCCGAGCCGTGACCGTTGGCCACTAGGTTGGCTGTGACGCGTCTCCGTCGGCCGGGAGCCGCGAGCGGCGTGTGTGACGCTCTGGCGGCGTGCGGCGCAGGACACGTCGGACGACTACCTGGAGATGTTTGTGCAGTTCGGCTACGCCTTCCTCTTCTCGTCGGTCTTCCCGATGGCTGCCTTCTGGGCCGTCTTCAACAACCTGCTAGAGATTCGCGCCGACGCCTTCAAGCTGTGCAAGGTGTACCAGCGGCCGCCGGCCAAGAGCGTGCGCAACATCGGTGCCTGGATGGTAAGCGGTCGCCGAGCCAGGGACGCCGTGCGGTCAGTGCCAGGGGCGGCGCTATCCAAAAATGAGGGGGAGAGAGGGCCAGCTCCAGTAGCGTTGCGAACACTCGGATGCTGTTCTCCCCATGCATCGCTATAGGCTGACGTGAACATCCGGAATAACTGGGACCCGCCTACTCCACAAAAATGCGTGAAGTAACATCCCTGATTGGTCTGCTGCCTTGTATCGTAGGCTTTATCCCTTGCGTAGCACTGCCCCACTAAACTCTTTCACGCAATTATTGTGATTAGTGCGGTGAAGGGCACAAGTTCATGAATGCATAAATAACGTCAGGGTACACTATTCTTGCTGGGCCTGGGCCCACAGCATGGCAGGCTAAGTGAGCATCGTAGTCCGATGGAAAACCCTCTCAGCGACCCGTTCCGCACAAAAGGAGAGCGTGTTTCTCTCTGGGCAGAGGGATGAGCGCCGCTCGCTCATGCTCACTGACGCTCACGCTGATACCTCTCGCCGCTGGCACCAACTCTGATGCAAAAACCGCGGATATGAAAAGTTCGCAATGGAAAGAGCGGCCTGCGTGGTTATGTGGTGTCATTGTTATGTCATTACACATCATATTATATCATGTCGTATGTGGTGTCATTTGTTACATGGTTTCAATCGCAAGATGTGGCCATAATCGTCTTCTTATTAGGCCGTATCCACGTAATAATGAGATGCTGGTTGGCTTATGGATTATGCAGTACGTTTCTGCGTTTCGTATTCGTGTGTGTATCATGTGATTTATGGGTGGTCGGTCGGCAACAGGCCAGTCATCTCACTTTTGCCGAGTCAAGTTTCGTGCTGCTTTACAGGCTTATGCTAATTTAATGCACATTCGAAAAGCGAATCCTCAGCACCGTGGCGTGATGAATCATTAGTTGCTTAGTTATTCAGAATAGAAGCCGGGGAAGGGGGGGGGGGCTGTCGAGTTGTCAGTATCAGTACTTTGCAACCCTGAACCTGCAACCTGCCCGCGTGGACGTCATGGCTATTTTTGGCCTCAGCCGCTGGACCCGGTAGCGGTGGACCAGGTGTGGGATGTACTGCCACCTGCGACACGACCTATCCCCCCCCCCCCTCCCCTGGTGGAGCGTGGCTGGCGCTCGCTGCCAGTGTCGCGCGTACAGTGCTCGACCCGTCTCAGGTGTATGAGCGTGTGACATGAAGCAACATGGCGCGACAACGCGGCTGTCCCGGCGCGCCTGCCACGAGGGTCTCCCGCGCCGCGTGTCGGCTCAGAGTGTGACCGGCGTCGGCCGGCTCCCCGGCCCCGTCGGTCCCGTGTAATCCCCGGCTCCCCGGCCCCGTCGGTCCCGTGTAATCCCCGGCTCCCCGGCCCCGTCGGTCCCGTGTAATCCCCGGCTCCCCGGCCCCGTCGGTCCCGTGTAATCCCCGGCTCCCCGGCCCCGTCGGTCCCGTGTAATCCCCGGCTCCCGGCCCCGTCGGTCCCGTGTAATCCCCGGCTCCCCGGCCCCGTCGGTCCCGTGTAATCCCCGGCTCGCCGGCCCCGTCGGTCCCGTGTAATCCCCGGCTCGCCGGTCCCGTCGGTCCCGTGTAATCCCCGGCTCGCCGGCCCCGTATTATCCCGACTCCCCGGTCCCGTATGACCCCGTGCACCCTGGCCCCGTATGACCCCCGGCCTCGGCCCCGTATGACCCCCGGCCTCGGCCCCGTGTGATCCCCGGCCTCGGCCCCGTATGACCCCCGGCCTCGGCCCCGTATGACCTCCGGCCTCGGCCCCGTATGACCTCCGGCCTCGGCCCCGTATGACCCCCGGCCTCGGTCCCGTGTGACAGCCGGCCTCGGCCCCGTATGACCCCCGGCCTCGGCCCCGTATGACCCCCGGCCTCGGTCCCGTATGACCCCCGGTCTCGGCCCCGTATGACCCCCGGCCTCGGTCCCGTATGACCCCCGGTCTCGGCCCCGTGTGACAGCCGGCCTCGGCCCCGTGTGACAGCCGGCCTCGGCCCCGTGTGACAGCCGGCCTCGGCCCCGTGTGACAGCCGGCCTCGGCTCCGTGTGACAGCCGGCCTCGGCCCCGTGTGACAGCCGGCCTCGGCCCCGTGTGACAGCCGGCCTCGGCTCCGTGTGACAGCCGGCCTCGGCCCCGTGTGACCCCCGGTCTCGGCCCCGTGTGACCCCCGGTCTCGGCCCCGTGTGACAGCCGGCCTCGGCCCCGTGTGACCCCCGGTCTCGGCCCCGTGTGACCCCCGGTCTCGGCCCCGTGTGACAGCCGGCCTCGGCCCCGTGTGACCCCCGGTCTCGGCCCCGTGTGACAGCCGGCCTCGGCCCCGTGTGACCCCCGGTCTCGGCCCCGTGTGACCCCCGGTCTCGGCCCCGTGTGACAGCCGGCCTCGGCCCCGTGTGACCCCCGGTCTCGGCCCCGTGTGACAGCCGGCCTCGGCCCCGTGTGACAGCCGGTCTCGGCCCCGTGTGACCCCCGGCCTCGGCCCCGTGTGACCCCCGGCCTCGGCCCCGTGTGACAGCCGGCCTCGGCCCCGTGTGACAGCCGGCCTCGGCCCCGTGTGACAGCCGGCCTCGGCCCCGTGTGACAGCCGGTCTCGGCCCCGTGTGACCCCCGGCCTCGGCCCCGTGTGACCCGGCCTCGGCCCCGTGTGACAGCCGGCCTCGGCCCCGTGTGACAGCCGGCCTCGGCCCCGTGTGACAGCCGGCCTCGGCCCCGTGTGACAGCCGGTCTCGGCCCCGTGTGACCCCCGGCCTCGGCCCCGTGTGACCCCCGGCCTCGGCCCCGTGTGACAGCCGGCCTCGGCCCCGTGTGACAGCCGGCCTCGGCCCCGTGTGACAGCCGGCCTCGGCCCCGTGTGACAGCCGGCCTCGGCCCCGTGTGACAGCCGGCTCTGTCGGCAGCCGGCGTTCGAGGTGCTCGGCTTCGTGGCCGTGTTCACAAACTGCGCACTGCTCTGCATGTCGCCGACGCTGCGCGAGATGGCGCCCGGCCTCTCGTCCGTCCAGTGGGTGGTCGTGTTCGTGCTGCTGGAGCACACGCTGCTGGCGCTCAAGCTGACGCTCACCCAGGTGGTGCCCAACGTGCCGTACTGGATCCGCAAGGCGGTGGCGCAGCACGAGTACCGCGTCCGCCAGCAGCTGCACAGGAAGGTGAGGCGGGCGCGGCCACCGCCCGGCGGCCTGCCTGCCCCGCACGCCGCCGGGCAGTGAAACGAAGCGGGCGATGTCTGCCTCGTGTATGGATTGTACGGATGTTGGGTGTACGTGGCGGGTGGCCTTGTGGGCTCAGTAAGCACGTGGCTGTGTGGGGGTCGCGTGGCGTACCTGAAGGCATGGTGACAGAGCATGCAGTGTGCAGTGTTTAATGGAACAGAGTGCAGTTTGGGGGCTGTGTCTCCACACGCTCTCACTGTGCGTGGTCGCTGCCGTCCCGTTACCGCTGATAGGAGTGTATGGTGGGGTTGGTGAAATCGTAGCACGTGGCGATCGTGCAATCTGTTGGGCGTAAGTCACATGACTGCACAGTTCCGAGGATGCCTCTTCCGCCTCCGCATTCGGCGAAATCCAGGTCGTTCTTGTGTATATGAGCCCGCCTAGCGGCTCGTGGCGATGCTCGGTGGGAGTGGCGCTTGTGTAATTCTCCCACCCTCAAAACGGAAATGTGTTTGGGTTTCCTGTTTCACGTCTGTTAGTGTTTCGGCATCAGCCGGCGTCGCGTGGCGCCCATGTCTAAATAACAGTGGCGGCGCTGTTAGTAAACGTGCGTCGGTATCAGTCGGCGCGTTACATGCAGTGAGATAGCTCCGCAGAAGCTCCGGCGGCGTACTAACGAGCGTCCGGTGTATAACCGTCAGGGCAGGAGACATCTAACGGACCACCCGTAACGGGGCGTCGGTCCAACGGATCCTCCAGGCCGCCCTGTGTGCCCTCCGGCCGCCCTGTGTGACCTCTGGCCGTCCTGTGTGTCCTCTGGCCGCCCTGTGTGACCTCTGGCCGCCCTGTGTGCCCTCTGGCCGCCCCGTGTGACCTCTGTCGCCGTTCCGTTTCAGAGCCGTTCTGTCGCCTCTGCGACGGCTTCGTGACCTCTATGTCGTCCTGTGATCTCTATGCCGTCCTGCGACCTCGGAGGTCTCTTCGTGACCTCTGGAGCTGTTCTTTGACGTACGTGTCGCCCTGTGACCTGTGACGTCTTTCGGTGGCATTCGGGGCCGTGCTTGTGACCTGAATGTCGCTCTGTGACCTCTGGCGACCGCCATGTGACCGTCGTCGCCGTTGGCAGCGGCGCCGGGAGACGCGCAGCCGGCTCTCGCGCCGCTTCTCCTCCAAGGCGCCGTCGCAGCAGGCGGCGCGACCCGTCAGCTTCCAGCCGGAGACGGGCGTGCGCTTCCGACATCACTAGAGCGCCGCCAGGGGCGGGACCGGCCGCGCTCGCCGGGGTGCTGGGGAGTGCACGCGACTCCAGCAGCGCTGCCGGGCGACGGCGGCAGACGGAGGCAGCTGCTGATCACCGGGAGCTGGGCGCAGAACCGAAGCGGAGGAAGCTGGCTCGGGCGGAGCCGGGCAAATGGACCGGACCGGACCGGACCGGACCGGAGCGGGAAGAGCAGACCGAGCCGGTGGGAAACGGAAGAGCAGCTGTCAAGGTCCCTTCTTTCGGTGTAGGTGTGTGTGCGTGTGTCGGGAGAGGGGGATGGGGCGCTGGGAGTGTGACAGGGCTCAGGACGACCAGCGCTGGCCAGGATCGACATCGCGCCCAGCTGGTGGGCCTGCTGTCTCCGTGCGTAGGATTAATGAGACGAAGGATAGGTGGATGTGGTTGGCGCTTACACGAGTTTCCCCAGGCAGGACTGGGCAGTGGGATGGTTGTGCATATGCGGCTGCAGTGAGCGGTCCGTCTGCTAGGCACGGACGCGTGATGGACAGAAAAGGGGCAAATTCGCCGTGTGGTTGGTCGGAACAGGTGGCTCATATGGTAGTGTGAGGCTTAGCTTTAACGCGTCGCTGACTGAAAGGTATTCTCTTCTCAGGATCACGAATGCACGGTGCACAAAGGAGGCTTAATACTTATCACAGAATATGGTTGTGCTAATTCTACGCTCGTTTCACCGCGCTGCCTCCAGTGGCTCAGAAAGGGGGATTGGTTGCGTGCGTCGACATGACAACGGCTTTTGCTAGTTTTTTTTTCTAGGTGTGTTACAAACTGGCTGCGACAAGATGACGGATGAAAAGTTTTGGCTGCTTTATGCTGGCTGGCACGTATAATGAGCCACTGCGAATGTCTTCAGCGATCACCTGGATACCCCTGCTGTGGTTGTGCGATTGGCAGGCCAGCATTGGCGAGATTAATCGGAGTCGGAATGATCCAAGACGTGCACTAGGTGTGTCAAGCGCGGCGGCGGCAGGCGCGTACGTCCCAGTCCTCAGCGGCGTCAAGTAGGACTCACGATTGGCTGAGAGTTCGGACGAGATTGGCTATCGCCGGAGGGGCGGGGTGCAACGACAACACAAAACATACTTCAGCCAGGTTCTCCACTGTCGCTATCTGGAGAGGCGGTTCTGAGAGGGACGCTGGCTCTCGGCAAGGCCATCTGCTGGGTTTGGTGACAATACAGGAGATTCAGTTCAGCTGCGTTTAATACGAGGACTCGCTCTACACGGTGGCGTATGATTCGCACCGGCTCTTTCGCGCGGGATTTCTCATTGTCGTCAAAGCATGTAACTAGAAGCATCCGCTGTGTAAATGGGGAGCGCGCGGATCAGTACTGTGTCTTTAGCTTGCCCAAGTATGCGTCTCGAAGGCAGTAAGCATGTTGTTAGTGTTCTTCCCGGGCTAACCCGAGGCGTCATACAGGTTTTGCGATTCACACCAATACAGAGAAGCGTATTGAACGTGGCCCGTCGGCCGAAAGGTCAAGCAGGAGTTGCCTAACTCGGTTAGCGACGTGCTGACGTCAGGCGGGCTGATGCATGCTGATGCCGCCCGTGGCTCATCAGCGACCTTGGTCAGCGCTGCGCTGGCGTCCGGTGCCATGTCTCCACGCGACGCCAGGCTCGTCTGACTGTGATCTCCACCCCGGGTGGGTGTGTGGACCAGAGCTGGGCGTTCTCTCCCGATTGTGTCTATCCTGTGCCTTACTGTTTTCCATCCAGGTGTACCGTAGGCCTTTTGGCGTCCGCTCCTCCCGGCTTTTTCGTCAAGCAATCGGCGGCATCAAACTGTTCCATGTCGTTGCTTTCGAAATATCGCTGTCGTGTCGCGCAACGATGCGAAGTAAAAAAATGACATGACCACGCTGTTGCCGAAACTTTCAACTTGTTTTCCTTGTCACACGATCCCGAGTGCGTGCGTTGCTGGTGCATTGCGTCAAGTTGGTCCGCTTATGAAGCGAATGCCGCTGCTCGGTTGGGCAAATGATTCAAATAACGTCTTGACAGAAGTATTAGCCTGTTAGGTTGATATTTCGGCAACATGGCCTTATCGAAACAATAGCAGGGGTAAATTCAAAATTGCCTGCCGATGACTCATCGGTAGGCAATTTTGAATTCACTTCTGCTATTGTTTCGATACAGGTATGTTGTCGAAATATCAATCCAACTATATCTCCATTCTCCTGTTTTTTTCCGAGGAACAAGGTTTTCCGAGGAATAAGGTTTTTGTTGCTATCTTTCTGTGAATGATGTTTCTCGCTAATGCACTGAACAACTTATGGAATACGTGTTGGTTGCACGAAGGTGATCGGGTGGAAGAAGTCGCTTAGATGAAGTAAGACATTGGGCATACGCGTTAGTGTCAGCTACGGCTTTTTGTCTTCGGACGTGTTACGGGCGGTTTGTAGGTGCGCGCCATGTCTCACATCCCTAACCACGTCCTCGGTTTTTATTGAGACATCCGTCGCTGGCGTGATGAGAGAGGAATTTGAGACGACTCTGGCGCGCTGCGAGTTCACTGCCTGCCAGCACTGCCCCCGGGGATCCAGTTTGTTGTCGCTGTCTATTGTGCCGTTTGTGAGCCCCTTGCACATCCGCTGTCGCGATTTCCGGGCCGAATGATGCAGCATCGTGCTCCTAGGTGTCTGTGTGGCCAGTGTGGAGAGGTCTTCCCGTCTTAAAGCTTGCGGTTCTAGGCCGTGGCCAGTGTAGCGCTCGCAATAAACGCACACGTCGCCGGTTATCTCCGTCAATTTGATGTGATCGTCAGTCGTATCGAGCCAAGCCCACACGTGGCCGATAATGTCCACGGGTCGCGGTCCTCACCCCGCCACGGTCCCCCGGCTGCTGTGCTCGTACCGCCGGGCTCAGCAGCGCGCCTGCAGGCAGGCCGCCACACTGTCGCCATGCACGCGAGACGGTCCGCGGTAACGGCCGTGCCGCAGTGGCAGCGCGTCAGCTCGCCCAACCGAGCGTCGCGTGTCGCCCGGTGGGTGTGCAGTCGGCTGCCGTCCACGCGCCGTCGGCCGGCGGACGGCGAGGCGAGGCGCGTCTCTGCAGACCGACTGCGGAGGAACGCCACCTGACGGGCGCTGGAGGGGCGTCACGACCTCTTCCACCGCTCCCCACTCGAGCACGGTACCCCAGGCCATGCCGGGGCGGGAGGAAGGTGGCGCCGTGTTGGCGGTGTGCAGTCAGTTGTAACGAACCGCGGAGGGCCGTCGCGCCCGATGTTGTGACGGCGATGCGGAGGAGGCCCTCGCGGGTCCCCCTGGTCGCAGTGACGCGCTGTCTGGCGCCAGCTCGCGCTGGCGCCAGACACTTCCATTCCTGCCGTCGTGCAGAATGCCTCACGGGTGTGCGCCCAGGAGTGGACAGAGTGTGGGCCCGCCTCACCATGGCTGAGCACGGCCGCACCTCCACTCAACTGTTGTGTGTGCCTGCGGCGGGACGTGTCTGCCGGGTCTGCCGCAGCGGCGACGGCTCACCGTGCTCCGTGCGGCGACAACAACGCTGTGAAGACGGCTCGGTATGCAGGGTGTGGTATCGTGTGTCAATAGCCAGATACACCTATGGCGGGGAACGATATCGTTCGCGAACGCTGACAGACTTTGTCTATACACAAACACTCAACCGGGGTAGTTTGCAGAGCACCTACTACCTATCAAAGGCGTATCTCACCACTTCCCCGCCGTGCTATCTGCCCCCGCGCCTCCTCCAGCCCGTCCCCCTTACCTCCGTCCCGCCCGCCCATCAGCTGTCTGCGGCCGCGGAGCTCCCGTGCTGGCGGCGGCGGCCTGGTGCTCCAGCCGGGCCGTCGCACGATCGATATGGGACGACTTGGCACCGGTCCCGCTGCCGCCGCTGCGCGCGGCGCCGCGCACAGTGCGTGCCGGCGGCGGAACGGGCCGGCCGGCGCTGCCGACGCATGAAGACACGGCCGAGGCGGAGTGGTGGCCATGACCGGCCGCCGAGACGGAGCGGGGGCCGCGACCGGCAGCGGGGTCCCTCAGATCTCAGCAGCGTGCCGGTTCGGGTCGTGGGCCGACCTGGGCTCGGTTTCCCAGCCCGCGACCTCAGAGGTTCGACCAAAGCTCGGTCGGGTCGATGGAGGAGCGGTGTGCGTGGTGCCCCGCTTCGAGCCAAGGTCGAGCTGCTGGTGGGTGCGCGAGCCTCCCGGTCGATCCAAAGGAGTAGCAGTATGCTAACCCAAAAAAGCAAATGAAGATGGAGGCGTGCCAATCGACACTCTTGTTTGCACGTTTGTCTCACACCAGCGTTGCTTTTAAAGTTAATCCCGCTCCATAATGAGTTGTAGCTGTGCGGAGGAAGTGAAGGTCGCGTCGTTCGGTACATAACTGTTTTGGCGGCTGTTTGTCGTCATGTAAGCCATGACTGTAGTCTCTATTTCGGGAGTTGTACCGGCATGCCTCATGCGGTTTTTGGTGGGACAGAGCATGACATTCGGGTTACCGGCATGACCTTTCTCCCGTGTGTCCGGTCACTGTGCACGGCAAACCAGGCTGGTGGGAGGTGAGTTAGTTTACTGGCGGGATGTTTTGCCCGGATTGATTCTAAAGAGTAGCGTCGCGAGCCAGCCTTGAACGGGAAGCCAATCTGCATGTTTGCGTGAGGTCCTTTGACGAAAAACACCGCCGTCCGTGCCGTTGCGCTCAAGGTGACTGCTTATTTACGGAAAGTGGAGGCCGCTGTGCTGTCCAGACTTTACCTGAAACTGCAGCTTGCTGTTTTTTCTGCGTAACATGCAGCGTTTCCACCTAACAGGAAAGCGCACTCGAATTTGGGTCCTTTTTGCGCCGAGGTGCACCTTAAACGGACTGGATTCGAATAAACCGGTGTTCCTGAGTTAGGTCGATTTGTTTCTTGACCGAGAGCAACGCGGCGCTGGTTTTACAAACTGTGCACGGTCCCACAGTTGAAGTTTATGGGTCACTGCGTTGACAGTTGTCTGAACTGGTCCCACAGTTGAAGTTTATGGGTCGCTGCGTGCGACAGTTGTCTGAACTGGTCCCACAGTTAAGTTTATGGGTCGCTGCGTGCGACAGTTGTCTGAACTGGTCCCACAGTTGAAGTTTATGGGTCGCTGCGTACGACAGCTGTCTGAACTGGTAGGCTGTGCCGGTATGTCGGCCAAATATTAAATGGACACTTCCTCTACCGATTTTGACCAGCAGCAGTCGCAACAAATTGGGCTACCGAGGAAAATTCGTCCATCAGTGCGGATGGATAAAGAGCTGACGGACGGCACTAACTTGCTCGTTGTCACCCCAAAGTTGAACTCAAGACTCTCTCAGCCGTGGAGCTGGTACCCAATGACGAAACAACTCGGATGCAGTACATCCAGGTGTGCAGGTGCTAGCTAGTGACCTGAAGGCGGTGGAGCTGTGCTCGATCTCACAGATCTTGGAATCTATGTATTTATCGAAAACACGTAAAGATCTGGTTCGAGAAATTTATTTATAGAGTTGTTGGAACGTTGCAAGAAAAATCGGACCCACATTTACTCCCGTGCACTGATAACCACAACAGTAGCGTGACTCAAGCTTATTTGAACCATAGGGAGCGTAAGCAGTAACATCGTGTGTCATGTACTTAAGTACGTGCTTGACATTTTGCATCTCCGTGCCCGTGCCCATACCAGTACTTCTCACCAAGATCTGTGCCAGCCCAACCCGCCACCCACTCTGCATAGGTGTCCCTGGGCCACCGCGCCGCCGTGAAGTCGTCTGTTACAGAAGTCCGCCGATGTGGTTTTGGCACGATTTTGTGCAAGACATGGTCGATTTTCCTGTACTGGCTTATGCAGATTCCACAAGGCGCTTTAAAGGTTTCCTTAAACAGCTAACTGGTACCTTGAAAGCGTTTAATTCGTCCATTGCTTTGTTGTTTTGCTTCCTGTGCAGTTGTCCAGCAGAGCGCACGTATTCACACACGACCAAGGCACTACAGCATGCCTACACCGAATATGTCCAGCCGACCTCCTCACTTCGACAAACGGTATTCAAGCACGAGTGCGTTCAACATTCGATGCGTTTATTTCACTCTAGCCCCTCAGTGAACAGGGAACTGGACGCGTTCAGTACTGCTAACGACGATGCTGGAATTAGTCTGGTAACAGCATTTAGATGTCGCCGCTGCATCAATAAGGTCAGGTATCCTCACTGCGGAGGGCGGAGTGAAAAGACCTCCACCCGACAGGCTCATGTGGCAGCTTACGTAACGCCAGCCGCGCCGATGACAAGGTGGCAGATCCAGCCGCCGCTGGGCCCGACCCGAATCCGTTGCGGAAGGACCTGCGAGTTGAACGGCGTGCCTAACATGTGCGTGAGACAAGCGTTGGTGATTGTTTTTTTTTCCAGAGAAAAGGCATAGCTTTGCTTCGAAACCAACAGTGGCTCAAAATGCCGCAGCGCGGAATTTATTGACCATGTCTATGCCATGCGATGTGTAAGGCGGTGGCGTGGGAACGGGAGGTTCTCCTTCCTTTCTTGTTGCTCTGACCTAGCATCATCTCAACATTTTTGCAGACGATGACCGTTGCATAATAAACGATGAGCCAGTGATCTCATCGGGCTGCTTCCCCTCCTTGGAATGTCCACATGCCACTCCATGGCAATTACGAGCCATTATCTTGAAAGTGCGCTAAGGAGCGCTCGATTCGTGAAATCCTTCCCCAAAAAACACATTTGCACTTAGCAGCCTCACACGGATGCAGTCAGGGCGCAAAGGTCCCTGATCCCCTTCCATCCGATCCAGTGCGACCTCATCCGACCCGATTCAATTTGAATCGATTCCATTTGATTCGATCCGATTCGATCCGATTCGATCCGATTCGATCCGACTCGGTCCGATCTGTTACACTACATTTACGTTCCACATCAGACACCATCTCGCATCACAGAAGATGATGCAACCACAGGCCCACACCACGGATGCGACGTCGGAGTCAATAACGCCAGTGAACCACGCCATTTAACGCCGAAGAGCATGCATGCTTGCGACGTGCATGCATGTTGTTGACTGACATTTGCAAAACACGGCCGACGTGCACGACGAGCACCGCCCAGCGTTGTTGGCTCGCACAGGGTGGCTGAGAGGCTTTAGTGGGGTGATTGATACCAGATTGGCAAGGGTTATTTGCGATGCTGTCTGTGTGTACCGCGCGCCGAGCAAACATCTTCAGGTGCAACGAAAGCTGTTTGGCTGAGTCATTCCATTCCGGGCTGAAAGTGCTCCCGAGGTTTACTCAACAGAATGTTCGAAAGTATTTTAATTGTTTTGAAAAGTCGAGCATGTCTGCTTGTGTTCCAGACTGTTTCAGTCATTCACTTCTAGCTTGTAACGTCTCCGAATTCCCATGAACGCAAAGTGATTTTAACTTTTTGGATCTCAAAATGAACAAAATGTTATCGGGTAGACGAGTCAGCCATAATGTCATCCCTCACCCGAAACTACCGCCACTGGAATTGAGCTATGTCAACCACTCCAGCTGCGTAGATTTAACCAGCGCGCTATCGATTTCAGTACTGATGCTTCGGCCCCGCCGATCAGTTTAAGTACTCCGTGTCGAATCGGCGTCCCGCCTCCCCATTCCGTGATCTTGCCAACGTGCGCGGTGTCACGAGTCACGAGAGCTCACATCACGACAGCGTAACGGCTGGTGTGACGAAGTCACGTGCTTCCGCGCCGCGAGCTGCCCGCTCTGCTCGTGGCAGCGCGAGGCGGCCAGCGCCGGCGGGGGCGGCCGGAGCGGAGCGGGCAGCCAGGGACGGCAGCAGCCGCAGCCGCTTGTGCGGGCTAGGCACTGTGGCGATCACGGGGCGGACGCCTCCGGTTGAACAAGGGACACGACGCCGGCGGCCGCAGGCGCCGGACGGGTGCCTGACCGACCGCGGCGTGTCGCGGCAGGGGCGGGGGGGGGGGGGGTCCAGTGGCGTGGGCGGGGTCCAGGGCCGTAGGGGGGCACAGGAGCTGGTCCAGCGGCACAGGGGCGGCCGACAGGCGGCTGCCCCTCCGCGCTGGATGAATTTAGGCTTACCCTTGTGGCTGCGATGGTAAAATAGGTAAAAGAACGTTTCTTAGCCTGACGCCACATCTGAAGTCTATAATTCCTACGCCTTTGAACTTGAGCGACACCGTTAAGGTGGATCGTCAAAACGACGCACGTGTTACCAGAGGGGGTGACGCGACGCGTACCAACCGAGAGCCCTTGCGTAACGTTTGTCCGGGAAAAGAGGGCAACACTTAAAAACCGCCGTGACCACTACTACACTACACAGCAGCCGTTAGAACCCACGATTATCGTCGACGAACACCACAGTCTGATGCTAAGGCAGGCTAACTACGAGCCACTAACAGGAAGCGCCTTTAACCACAGCAAGGTCGCGATTCCGCTGACAGGTCGTCCCTTCCGGCGTGACAGGTCATGCGGCAGGTCACCCTCTCCGGCCTGGAAGGTCATCCAGGGTCAGTCGTCCCGTCACGATCGTCGCCGCCTCTTCGGCGCTTCATCACGACAGCGCCGCGTGACGTCACTGGTAGCGGCTGACATCACTGGGGCCGGACGAAGCGGACAGCGGCGTTGCAGCTGCGCACGGCGCGCTCGCCCGTCGGCATCGGCGGCCGGTAGTTGTCGGCGATGACGCCGTCGTCGTCGTCGCTGTCGTCGCCCTTCTCGTCGTCGGTGGTGTGTCGTCTCAAGTGGCGGAACTCGCCCAGCTGGGGACAGGAGGTGGAAAGGTGGCGAGCGTGAGTGGTGCGCTTGTGAGCGGTGATTGCTACATCAGTTCGGTGTGATACAGATCATATCAGATGGATACCTGTTCGTCATGAAACCATTGATATAGACATTAACCTCCCAATGATTGACGTAACAACATCAAATGACGTAAATAAGAAACTTGACTGAAAGACGCACTTGAGCTGAAATCCTGAGGCCCTGAGATGATTGGATGCCAAAAAATCACCTGACGCCCAGTCGCAGTAAAACGCACCTTTCAAAACAGGCGTAAGCGTGTGTCACCTTGGCACCAGACGAGGCCGCAGGATACTAACTATTCCGAAGGTCGAAAGAGACGGCGTTACATTCGAAACTGCCACCTACCGAGCACTGAAATGTAAAGGTAGTGCCGCGCTTTCGCTCGGTAAGATTCATATCGGCTACTCCATCACCCCCCCCCCCCCCCCCCTCCCCTCCGCCTCCTACTAACAACACCGCCACGGACTCGGCCATGACTCCCCAAACGCGGCCGCATGTGTTTTCCGTGACAAATGTCAGAGTCGTCGCGTGCCAGCGCAGCCGTCGGCGCGTATCGGCCCGCCCGTCCCCACCGTGCCCATGCCTCATCGACCTTTCGCGGGCACGCCTCCACAGCTGCGGCGCTCGCGTCAAGCCGCGCGACCTTGTCGGTGTCGATTCAGGCCGCCGTCGAAAGTGGAGGGCTCTCATTCATCACCAGAGCCAGCCGAAGCGGCGGCGGCCCGGGGCGGGACGGCCCGTCCGCCGGCACCCCGCAGTCAGCCAAACCAGGGGTCGCTGTTCCCGCCTGTCACCCTCCGCCGTCGTCGTGAGCTGCTCCCCGACACGGAGCGGGCGGGAGCGCCGCCACCGGCAGCTAGCGGGGTGTATCGTTGCTGAGAGCTGGCGCAGCGCGCCGTCTCTCGGGCCGGTGAGGGGTGGGACGCGTACCTGCTCGCGCGAGATCTCGGTGGGCTCGGCGAACACGATCCAGGTGACACTCTCGTACAGTGGCGGCGTGGTGAGAGAGCCCTCGTACGTCCAGTAACGGCGAGTGTCTGCAACAGGCGGAGATGGTCAGGCGGGCTCCCGGAGCAGGACAACTGAGACCGCGACGTTCAGGTGGGAGGATGCTATACAGGATCTCTCTCTCTCTCATCTCTAGTCCCTCACTCCCGCCTTCTCCTCGTCTTCTCTCTCCATCGTCTCTTCCTTCCTCCCTTCTCTCTCCTCCTCTCTCTCTCCTCTCCTCTCTCCTGGTCCTCTCTCGTCTCTCGCGCGCGGGGGTCTCTCTCTTCCTCTCACTCTCTTCTCCTCGCTCTCAACCTCTCTCTCTCTTCTCTCTCTCTCTCTCTCTCGTCTTCTCTCCTCTCTCTCGCACTCCCCTCTCTCTCTCTTCTCTCTCT